AAGTTCGAAAAAGTTGCTCGCAAAAGCCCGTTTGACAGAAATGTTTAAAAAGTGTTGGGTTTCCTACGAATCCGCAAGAGCGCGCGGGATGAGATTTTGACATTTTTTTGTTGAAAAACCATTGGTTTTTTGATGTTTTTATGTTAAAATCGCTCCGAACACTAAGGTTTTGGAAGGATTTCGTCTTGCGCGCGCGAATGTCCACTTTACCTTATTTTTTGCAAGGGATTCTTGAAATTTGATTATATTAGAACAAGAAATGTCATTTTCTATTGTTTTTTGCAAGGGAAAGCGGATTACAACAAAACAACCGGATCCTGTACACACCCTCTTTTCTGAGGCTTCCTCACGAAAATGATGAAAATGTAGCTGCGGCCTAGGCGGCGCAGGGGGGGCGCGCACCAGGGGGCCCAACAATAATTATTCTTTAGACTAAATAATGTTCAACAGCAACAGCAACAGCAACAGCAACAACAACAACAACAACAGGGGTAGGGTTCGCCTGTGGTCCCCGAATGCAGCCGCCGCCCCTGCCCCCCCGCCTCCCCTCCGCCAGCCAGCCGCGGCCGCGCGGCCTCTCGCCGCCCAGCCTCAGGTAGTGCTGCTCCGCGCCCGGCCTCCGCGCGTCGGGCGGCGCGCGCGGCGCGCGCCGGCGGGCGGCGGGCGGCGTCGCCGCTGCGCGGCCTCGCGAGGGGGGCGTCGGGGCCGACGGCTCTGCGAGTCACTTCCGTCGAGAGTTTTCGAGCCAAGTAGCCCGCCGGCGCTGTGGAATCCCACCAGCCCTCTGGGCGTCGGTGGTCTAGAGAGTTTCCTCTGCCAACCCCCTTCTTCCCCTTCGGGGAGGAATTTGTTTCCCTCCCCCTGCCCCCTTCCCTGGACCTGGACGGGGGGTTCCGCGGGTCGTTGGGGCGTCCCAGACGGCTCCAAGAGCGAAAAGGCGGGAAAGCAAAAAAAAATGATTTCCGTAGGTTTTGGAAGGATGTTCGCCTCTTTTGGGGCCCAGGAGGCACTCTAGCGGGGCAACGCCAATTCCCACCCATCCCTTCTTTGATAGATCTCCTCCAACATGGCCCCAAGAGCGCCCCGAATGCTCCCAAGAGCGCCCCAAGAGCGCCCCAAGAGGGCCCCAAGAGGACCCAAGAGGCCCCAAGAGGCGCCCAAGAGACCTCCAAGAGGCTCTCAAGAGACCCCCACGAGGCCCCAAGAGGCTCCCCGAGATACGCAAGAGGCCCCGAGGACCGCCAAGAGGCCCCACAGACGGCCCAAGAGGCCCCAAGCTCGCCATTGTCCTCCTCCTCCTCCTCCTCCTCCTCCTCCTCCTCCTCCTCCTCCTCGTTTTCTTCCTCCTCCCTCCTCCCCTCCCTCTCCTCCTCCTCCTCCTCCTCCTCCTCCTCTCCTCCTCCTCCTCCTCCTCCTTCTCCTCCTTCTCCTTCTCCTCCTTCTCGTCCTCTACGTACTCGCCCTCCTCCATCTCCTCCTCCTCATCTTCCTCCTCCTCCTCCTCCTCCCCCTCCTCCTCCTGCTCCTCCTCCTGCTCCTCCTCTTCCTCCTCCTACTCCGACGACCACGACTCCTCCTACATCCTCCCCCTCTTGGGGTATTTGGCGGCTCACCCCACCCTTTGTTTTTCTGCATGCTCCCCCGCTTCCCTTTTCACCTCCACTCCCCTGGGGCTCATTTCTGGACGGGCTGGTGGGGATACGCGAAGCGTCTAGAATTACTCTAGAGCTTAGTCGCTTCGCTTGTGGACAAGCTCTACGAGTCATCAATACTCTCAAGCTTCGCCGCTTCGCTCTTAGGGAAGCTCTACGATTCATTCCGGCGCGGGACGGAGCTCCCCCAGGGGGGTTCAAGGACCGCGGGTTCCCCCAGCTGTGGCTGGCCTGACGTGCGGCATCGCGGCGGGGCCGCGCGGGCAGCGCCGTGCGGGAAGCGGCCTGGCCGCGTTCTGGTGGATCTGCACGAGCTGCGTGACGTCGATGGTGCTCTTGCCTCGGCGGCTGAGCGCCCACGCCTTGCCACGCGGGGGCGCGGCCAAGGAGGGGGGCCAGGGAGACGCAGAGGAAGGCGACGGCCCGAAAAGGAGCGGGGTGGGAGCCGTGACTGGGTCTTCCGTTCAGCTCCGCGCATCGCGCCCCGCAATGCGCAAGGCGCGGTTACCTGAGCGCCATCGCAAGGCCGCGTTGGGCAAGGGCAGCTCTCCGGCGCAGCCCGCCGCTGGTGAAGCGCGCCTTCTGCGCCCTCCTGGTGGCGACCTAGCGAACAGGAGCGAGGTAGGAGCTAGGACCTACAGACAGTACTCCCCAGGCGATCGCGTCGATCTGGATGTGCGAGACAGACACCAACTTGGCCGCAAGCACGCAAGTCAAAGACAACCGATGGCCCAGTCATGGCCTCGTCCACTTCGTGTGCGGAAGCCCAGCTTCCAGGTCCCGCCACGGCATCACCAGGCTACAAAGGGCTCGTGCCAGTCCTGGGAATGCAGCTGACAAGAATCCCAGAGCTACAGCACCGACAGAACCTGCAGGAAGGGCTGGTTCGGGGACAAGAGAGGAGCCTTGAACAATGAACGAAGCTTCCTTTGGGCCCCGTTGCGCCTGGACCCACGAGGAGCAAGATCGTCGAAGGGAAAACCGAAATGAGGACCCAAGAAACCATTAGCCCATTGCAGAGCCAAAGTGGTCCGTAAACCAACGGCTTGATTGTAAGACCGTCATCATGCCTTCGTCTCGCGAGGGGTCCGTTGGCCCGAAGCCATCTCAGGGCTGTGCGCACCTGCGCCGCCAGGTCAGAGAGGGCGTCGTGCGCGCCGGCCAGCTCTGTGCGCACTCCGGCCTGGCCCAGACTGGCCCGACTGCTGCCTCCGCCGTCATGCTGATTTTTCACAGCCGCCTGTGGCAGAGGCAGGCCAGTGCAGGGGAGATCGCATGGGGTGGCTGACGCGGCCAGCGAGAGGTAAATCTAATGACCTACAGTGGAGGCCAGTCCACAAGAAGCCCGATCCTGTGACCCCAGGACGTCCATCGAGTTCTGGTGTGGGAACGCCGCGATCTCCACAGCAGAACCAGCGACACCCAAGAAGCCCAGGGCCCCCCCCCACCCCCGGTGGGGAGGGCATGGAGGGGCTTCGCCACGACTACGATTTCCTTCTGTTTCGTGTTCGATTTCCCTTTATTTCGGGCGACGACGACGACGACGACGACGACGACGACGACGACGACGACGACGACGACGACGACGACGACGACGATGGGAGGCACGCAGGGTGCTTCTTGGCATGGGCCCCCACTGCACCGGCCTTTGCGCGCAGGCCCACCGTGGCAGAGGCAGGCCGGTGCAGGGCCGATGGCGCGAGGGGTGGCCGGCGCGGCCGGCGAGGGGTACAGCTGCTGCCCTGCGGAGGACACGGCGTGAGAGCCCGGAAACTCCCTCGGCATCCAACCCACACTGTGGGGAACGAGAAGCCGACATAAACACAATAGGCGCACAATTTCCGAGTGGGCGCCCGCCTCTGCGCGCGGGCTGGCGCGCGAACCTATTTGATGGGGGCGTGCAGACAGATGTGCCCGAGTCACCCCACTCGAACACACGCCTGGTCCTCCTGGCCCCCTGTCCACGACCACTTCCCTGCCTTTCGCCGCCACTGCCTTCCGCCCCTTGCGTCCAGCACTCCTCCCTGCACCCCGTCCCTCCCTCAACGAGACCCTCCAGCCACAACCGTCCCCCTCAAAGGCAGCCGCACCGCGACACTGGAGGCCGCCCAAATGGAGCCACAACAGATGGGGTAGGAGGATCGCGACGCATCGCCGATGCATCGGCGATGCGGCGCAATCCACCGGGCTGATCTACAGCGGGGGCAAGTCCACAAGAAACCCAACCCTGTGACCCTGGAACGTCCATCGATGTTTGGTGTGCGAATTCCGCACTCTCCACAGCAAAAGAACATGGACACCCAAGAAACCCAGGGCACCCTGGAGGCACGCAGGGTGTGTCTTGGCATGGGCCCCCACTGTATGGCCCCTTCTGGGAGGCCGTACAACCCAGGTGTCCGCATTCAAACCGGGGATGTCACCTGCGCAGGTCAGCGCAGGTCAGCGCAGACTGCGCCGTGGGTCCTACGGGGGCCATTTGATCTGACCTGCCGTGGACTGCGCTGGCCTGGGGCCTCGAGGGGATTTCTCGAGGTGTTTTTTTAGCATGGGTATCCACTGGACAGTCGAGGTACTACCAGAAGGAACGCCAAATAAGGAACAAAGGCGCTTTTCTGGCCACGGTGGGCCTAGGCCACTAGCGAATCCCGCGACATAAATCTAAGGAACGACCCCAATCCCCAAGCCCCTTCCGAACCCAAAGCGGTCCTCATTCCAGCGTCTTGGCTGCACCTGGCTCCTGGAGGAGGAGGAGGAGGAGGAGGAGGAGGAGGAGGAGGAGGAGGAGGAGGAGGGACGAGGAGGAGAGGAGGAGGAGGAGGAGGAGGAGGGGGAGGAAGAGGAGGGGGGGGGAGGAGGAGGAGGAGAGGAGGAGGAGGAGGAGGAGGAGAGGAGGAGGAGGAGGAGGGGAGGAGGAGGAGGAGGAGGAGGAGGAGGAGGAGGAGGAGGAGGAGGAGGAGGAGAGGAGGAGGAGGAGGAGGAGGAGGAGAGGAGGAGGAGGAGGAGGAGGAGGGAGGAGGGAGGAGGAGGAGGAGGAGGAGGAGGAGGAGGAGGAGGAGGAGGAGGAGGAGGAGAGTCCTCGTCCAACAGGGGGGGGGGGGGGGGGGGGGGGGCACACCGCCAGGCGGCCTGGACTCGGCGAGCCCGGCCGTGCTCGGATCGAGCAGGCACCCCAACGAAACGGGCCAGGGCAAGGGGGCCCTGGGGCGCACAACTGCATAGACACACATCCCAGGACACACAAATAAATACACAAAAATACAAATATTCCCCATATTTTCATATATTTTCTGGGTTTTCGTCTCCCCCCCACTTCCCGTGTTTTCCCATCTGTTCCTGGGAGTCGACGATTCCTTGTGCCTGCGTGCATTCTCCCCTCCTGGCAAAAGAGTCGATCGAATCGGGGTGCTGACGGACCAGTCGAACTCTGGAAGCCGAAGCTTGCTGGCCCGCGGCGCACCCAGAGCTGGTCGGACACGGAGATGCCGGGCGAGGTCAGCAGCCGCGGCAGCGCGCTCGCCACGTCGCGGATTGGCCTGTGCGGACACTGCGGCGGCTCGGCCCAACGGCACGGCACCCGAGGGCCACCACAGCGACCCGGGAGGCTGGGACTACTGGCGTGACGGCTCTCGGCGTGCTGGCACACCGAGATCGTCAACCTCGGTAACCCTGGCCTCTTCGCGCCCCCGCCGTGATCCCCAGGGGCCGGGTCGCCGAGGTGAAGCAGCACAGGGTACGCAGCCTGTGCGCAAGGCCGAGGAACAAGTGTCGACCGCAAAATGATGTCTGCACGGCGCGAGCGTGTCTCGTTCTTCGGGCCTCAGCTTTGGCGGCCGCTCAGGACGATCCGGGCACACCAGGAACGCCATCGGCGAGGCGAGGAGGAAAAGGAGGCGGAGCAGGAGGAGGAGGAGAATGAGGAGGGGGAGAAGGAGAAAGAGGAGGAGGAGGAGGAGGAGGAGGCAAGGCAGTCGGTCAGCGCCCGAACGAACATTCTCAGAGACTCTCGGGATCTCTGGGAGGTCGGGGGCCCTGTCACTGCGCCCCGCCGAGGGCCTCTCGAGGGCACAGGGGTCGTGCGAAACGGCCCCCTGTGCACAAAGTATCATCCTTCCTCCCTCATCCTCTCTTCTCTTCCTCATTCTTCATCCTTCATCCTTCATCCCTCACCCCTCATCCTTCCTCCCTCGTCCTTTCTTCTTTTCTTGTTCTTTTCTTCTGCTCCCCATTCTCCTCCCCCTTTCTTTAATCGCACCACTCGATGTGCGACGCGCGATTATCTTCTCGTCCTAGAGTTATGTCGGGCGTGTCCCCCTACAGGGGGGTTTTCGACGAAAAATAAAGAATACCCCAAAAATACACCAAACATGTAATAAAAAAAACTAAAAATAGTGCCCGGACTATGTTTGGACTAGTTTTGTTCATTATCTTGGGGGTATGTCTTATTTTTCGTCGAAAATCCCCCTGTAGGGGGACAGGCCCGACTTAACCCTGGAGAGGCCACCTCCTCCAGGGCGAGACCCACGGCCTAGGCCTCGCCATGGAGAGGCCACGGCCTGGGCCTCTGACCCGGGCCTCGACGCACGAGGCGCGAACATCTTCGGGCCCCAACGAGCGACCTGGTGTGGTGTTCCGACCCGAGTGAAGGGGCCCTGGGACACACGAATAAATACACACACATCAAAGGATTCCCCATCGTTTCCATATGTTCCTGGTTTTTGTCTTCCCCCCCCCACTTCCCATAGTTTCCCATATTTTCTGGGGAATCGTCGATTCATTGTGTCTGTGTGCTTTTTCCCTCCCGAACCTCGGAGGACAGACACGTGGCTCTGGCAGAATGGAATGTCAGAGCACCAGTGCGAGAATTCCAGGAGCGAAATCCCAGCCGCGCTCATGCCGAACGACTGCCCTATCCAACGGGCCCGAGAGCTCTTCGACCGACCGTGTCCGTGGGCCTGGAGCCTCTGCAGAGGTGCCACAAAGTAGGACCGAATCGCCTTTCTGGATCGGCGCCTGCCAAGATCCTGCTGCTCGGGATCCGGGCGCAGGGGTGTTGGGTGGCAGGGTGCTGGGGCTGGGGGACGGAGAGCTGGTGCTTGGTGATCGCGGCTGAGGAGGTGCAGAGGTCTGACAAGTTCTTCCTACATCTGCCTGTACACTTTGATGGAAACCCGTGCATATTCACATTTTACACATTCAACCTGAACCTGTATACTAAAACAGCCGCGCGCGCGCTCAAGTTCAACGAATGGAACGCATCGTGGAAGAGGGACCCTGGACACGTTTTGCTGTTCCCCCCAAAAAAATTCAACCCACGGTCTCAGTGGGCGCGCGCATGGAGGCGCCGCCCCCATTTCGGCATACGCCCTCAAACGCTTCGCAGCCTCAAAAAGGGCTCCACCTAAGGTCTCAGTGGGCGCGAACACATGGCAAAGACGACCCCAGATGGGTACGCCCCTCGGACGTTTCGTGCCGCATAGGGAGCTCCACGGTCCAAGTGGGCGCGAACGCATGGCGGCGACAGCGGATGACGGCGCCGCCTCGTGTCGGCACACGCCTCACACGCCTCGTGGCCTCATACGGAACTCCACGCACAGGGCAACAGTGGCAGGATCCGCATTGCGCCACTGAGCAATCCGGCACACCACTCACACGACCCTTGGCCCTCACCCGCACCGCCCCACGGTCCATCCCTCACGCGGCGCGCTGCCTATGAGGACTGGGCCAAATCCTGCCTGCATAGGGTGGGGTTTTCCGCAAACTACTGTCTGTGGCGGAACCCCTTCCCTACCGCTAAGTCGGGCATGTCCCCCTACAGGGGGATTTTCGACGAAAAATAAAGAATACCCCCAAAATAATCCAAGAATAATCCAAAAATAGTCTGGGGACTATTTTTGGGGTACTTTTTTATCTTTTTGAGTATTTTTGCGGTATTTTTCAGTTTTCTTCGAAAATCCCAATGTAGGGGGACAGGCCCGATTTAACCCTACCTCCACACATCCCAACCCCAGGGCGCATCGCCTGGGTCCAGCGTTGGTGCAGCCGCCTTCCTGGCCAGGCCAACAGGAACGCATCCATCGATTCCGCGCACGTGATTGGTGCACGTTCACCAGCCTGGAACATATCCCTATCCCTAAGCTGGGCATCCCCTCATCTCGATGCCAATCTTAGGGATTCCCTTATCTTTTGAGGGCGCATCCCTAAGATTGTCATCGCCTTTTGGCGTGTCGATTTTAGGGATAGGCATAAGTTCGAGGCTGGTACACACGCGGGTTGTCGGAGCACTCCGAGAGGCTCTCCTGTACGAGCGATTGGGTTCAGCACCAGCTCCCGCCTCGCCGGACTGGTGGCCCCGCCCTCCAGGTCGAAGCTCTCGCGCAGCACGTCCATATTGAGGGCCTCGGAGGGGGACTGGAAGCAGCTGGCCCATGCTGCCCCCTCCCGGCTCCTCCTCCCCTGTCGGTCCTGCGTGGGCCCTTTGATGCAAGGCGAACGTGGTGTCGCCTCCAGCAGGTGCGTGACCCCCTCCCTCCTCTTCCTCCTTCCTCCTCCCTCCTCCTCCTCCTCCTCCTCCTCCTCCTCCTCCTCCTCTCTTCCACCTCCCCCTGCTTCTGGCCCTCCCCCTCTCCCTCACCCTGACCCTCGCCCCACCCAATCCCCCATCGTGGGTGCAATGACATGCCCAGCCTTGTGCGCACCGCGAATGCCAACGACATCGCGAGCGGTAGTGCTAGGTCGGGCATGTCCTCCTACACAGATCAAAAGAGCATGGAGAAAAATCGCCCCCCGACTACATTTGCTACTCTGGGAAATTCCTCCCGTAGAAGGACATGCCCGACTTCACGTCCATGACCTGCTGTGTTCGGGCTCGAGTTCGCGCTGCGCATCTACGGCGTGCTCTGAAGCTTTCGCCGCGGGCCGCGCCCCCGCGCTGCGCATCCACGGCGTGCGCATCAGCCCCAGAGGGGCAGGAGCGCTGGCCCTCCTCTCGCCCGGAGCAAAGGCCAGAAGCTTTCCTCCGAGGAGTTTACTCGAATGGGCAGAGAGAGAGAGGTAAAGGGGCCCTGGGACACAAAAATAAATATACACACTGATGACAGGATTCCCAAGATGTTCCTACATTTTCTGGGTGGGATTTTGTCTTCCCCCCCCACACTTCCCATATTTTCCCGTTATTTCTGGGAAATCGATGATTCATGCTGTCTGTGTGTTTTTCCCCCTCTCGAAGAGAGAGAACTCCTCGTCCCTCACACGCGGCGGGTCCTCCCCCGCACGCTCCGCGCCCCATGCGGAGCGCCCGGCCCCCGTGGCAGCGCCCACCTGGCGAGCCCACGCCCGTGGCCGTGGACCCGCCCCGGGGGGCGTCGCCGCGGCCTTGGACGCCCGAAGTGGGCACGGAAAGAACGGGTACAATGCCCAACAGCAAATGTTGTCCCGAACCGACAGCGGCCGCTGTTGGGCAGGGCGGCCTTCTGTCTCGAATGGACACAGGCCGCGGCGACACCGACAGCGAGTGCTGTTCAGAAGGAGCAGGAACTGCTGTTGGGCATTGTACCCAATTCTTTCTGTGCCCATTTCGCGCGTGCAGAGCGGCAGCCGCGGGGCCACCCCCCGGACCGGACTCCGTCAGCGACGAGAGGCCCGAAGCGGCGGGCGAGGCCCGAGCCTGGCCGCCGGGCGTCGCCGGGGCGGACCTGGCCATCGCTCGGACGTCCACTCTCTGTGTTTTTGTTCGGTTTCGTGCGTGTTCGCCAAATGATCGAGGATGCTCCTCGATGGTCCTCGCCGAAGGAAAAATGCACACGCCGGAGCGATGCCAAGGAACGGGGCAGCCGATCCCGGGGGGCGGCGTCGCCCCAGCGGCTTCCTCAGCAGCCCGCTCGGCTTTCCTGGCTGCCGCCCTGCGCTGCTGCCTCGACGCGGCAGCGGCCTCGGCCGCGGGCGCCATCGCGGCTGCTTTGGGTAGCCCTGTCGGAGGCGAGCCGGGAGGGCGCTGCTCCTGCTCCGCCTCCTCCTCCTCATCGTCCTCTACCTCCCCGTTATTATTCCTCGCCGTCCTCCTTCTCCTCCTCGTCCTCATCATCAGCATCATCACCATCATCATCATCAGAATCATCATCATAATCATCATCATCATCATCATCATCATCATCATCATCACCACCACCACCACCACCACCACCACCACCATCATCATCATCATCATCATCATCATCATCATCATCATCATCATCCTCATCCTCATCCTCATCCTCATCCCATCATCCCATCACCATCACCATCATCCTATCCTCATCCTCATCCTCATCCTCATCCTCATCATCATCATCATCATCATCATCATCATCATCATCATCATCATCATCATCATCATCATCATCATCATCATCACCATTCCTAATGCGTCCGCCTCCTCATCTTCGGCAGGCCATTCCGAATCTCCTGTTTCCCCTCCCATCGCCGAGGGGCCTCTGCTGGGCCGTGGCTCCCGCCGGCGTCGCGCTCGACAGTGTTAGGCGCCAGCGCGGTGTTGTTCACGGCGGGGGACGCGAGCTGGCGGCGCAGGCAAAGGGGAGGAGCAGAGAGAGAAGCAGCAGGAGGAAGGAAGAGAGGGAGGAGGGAGAGGAGGGAGGAAGGCCCGAAGGCGTGTGAAAGAGGAGGGGGACGGAGGATTCAAACGCAAAGAGAGTTGGGAGGTCCTCCTAGTCCTCCTCTTCATTCGTTCGATTTCTCTCCTTCTCCTACTACTTGCCCTTCCCCCCTTCATGCACACCATCCCCATGTCTTGACGACGATCACCACCACATCACAAACATCATCATCATCATCATCATCATCATCATCATCATCATCATCATCATCATCATCATCATCATCATCATCATCATCATCATCATCATCATCATCATCATCATCATTATCAGCAGCATCATCACAATCCGTCATCGTAACCATCATCACCATCAACCTCATCATCCGTCATCATCAAGATCATCACCCTCTCCCTCAAATCTCATAATCATGATCAGCAGCATCACCACCACCATCATCACCGCCACAACAACCACCATCAGCATCATCAGCATCACCGTATGTATTATCATCAGCGGCATCACCATCATCATGGGCATCAGCATCAGCATCAGCATCATAAAATGTATCAACATCATCAGTATCATCGTCATCATCATCATCATCATCATCATCATCATCATCATCATCATCATCATCATCGTCATCAATATCATGAGTGCGATCAACATCGCTTGTGATGCTGCCAACGTAACCATCATCATAATCATCAACATCAACAACATCGGAATCATCATCCGCGTTATGTTCGGCCTCCTTCTCTGCCTCCCACGCTTTCGCATCATCCTTCTCTTCCTCTACCCTGTTCATCCTCACTGCGTAACACGTGGTTCATCAGCCTGACTGGCCTGACCTACGACATACCTCCATTACTGAAATTGCTCAGCTCGTTCGGCGGGGCTTCCGAGAGACGTACGAGGGAACTCTCCCACACAGGATGATCTAGCCTTAATCACCATGTTCAACGCTGCAGTGTACAGAACCTGCTCTGGCAATTGCAACTCCGACCCCTGACGAGCCACGTCGAAGCCTGCGCTCCGACCAGCACGAGGCGATGGGCCAGTGCAGCCACCCGAGGGGCCTAGACCCAGGGACCGGCCACCGTTTCCGGGGGGGGGGGGGGGGCCCACGGACAGCGCTGCCTCCAGAGTGCCATAACACGGCATCGACGCCCCTGGCTACCACTTCGTGGGGCGAAGTGCAACTGAGGAGCATCCACTGCAGCACCTGGACTACAGTGGAGGGCCGACCACCAGAAACCTTCTACAAGAAACCCAACCCTGAGACCCCAGGACCTGCATTACTCACAGCACCACCATCGAAACCCGAAGAAACCCAAGGAACCATGGAGGCAAGGAGGGTGTTCCTTGGCATGGGCCTCCACTGTACCTGCATCGTGAGCTCCGCCTTACCTCCCTGGACGGGTGGGAGGGGCACGTAGCCTGATAAATCACATGGTATCCGAAAACTGTCCTCACTCAGGCGGGGCCTCCCTGGACGGGTGGGAGGGGCACGTAACCTGATAACTCACATAGTATCCGAATACTGTCCTCGCTCAAGCGGGGCCTCCCTAGACGGGTAGGAGGGGCACGAAACCTAATAAATCACGTGGTATCCGAATACTGTCCTCGCTCAGGCGGGGCCTCCCTGGACGGGCGGGAGGGGCACGACACCTGATAAATTACATGGTATCCGAATACTGTCTTCGCTCAGGCGGGGCCTCCCTGGACGGGTGGGAGAGGCACGTAATATGATGAATCACATAGTAACCGAAAACTGTTCTCGCTCAGGCGGGGCCTCCCTGGACGGGTGGGAGGGGCACGTAACCTGATAACTCACATGGTATCCGAACACTTTCCTCGCTCAGGCGGGGCCTCCCTGGACGGGTGGGAGGGGCACGAAACATGAAAAAGCACATGGTGTCCGAATACTGTCCTCGCTCAGGCGGGGCCTCCCTGGACGGGTGGGAGGGGCGGTAACCTGATAAATCACATGGTATCCGAATACCCTCCACGCTCAGGCGGGGCTTCCCTGGACGGGTGGGAGGGGCACGTAACCTGATAAATCACATGGTATCCGAATACTGTCCTCGCTCAGGCGGGGCCTCCCTGGACGGGTGGGAGGGGCACGTAACCTGATAAATCATATGGTATCCGAATACTGTCCTCGCTCAGGCGGGGCCTCCTTGGACGGGTGGGAGGCACGGAACGTGTTAAATCACATGGTGTCCGAATACTGTCCTTGCTCAGGCGGGGCCTCCCTGGACGGGTGGGAGGGGCACGTAACCTGATAAATCACATGGTATCCGAATACTGTCCTCGCTCAGGCGGGGCCTGCCTGGACGGGTGGGAGGGGCACGAAATCATATGATATGGTCTTGCATTCTATCTTATGGTATTGTATGGTGTGGTATGGTATGGCATGGTATGGTATGTTATTGTATGGTATGGTATGGTATGGTATGCTACGGAATGTAGATTTGTGCGATGGCATGTGGAACCGGAAGCGGGAGAAGGAGAAGAAGAAGGAGAGGGTGTTCTTGGGAAACAAGAGCCCGCTAAGGATGTGGGGAAAACTGGTACTGCGTCCTTCTGGGCATTCGAGTTCTCATTGACTGGCACAATTTACATCCTCTTCCTCCCCCACCCGTCGCCCACCGCATGGCCGAGCTCGTGCATCAGTAGCCTGGCAGCGGCATCGTGTAGACGGAAAGAGCGCGGTGAACCAGGCGCGCTGCAGGAAAGATTGAGCTAGAAGTACGTGGCCATTGCATTCGACAATACAGCACACATGTTGGCGACTCGACGCGTCGGTTTCACAAAATACAATCCCGTGCTGCTAGTAACTAACACGTGGGTGGGCACCACCAAGGCCCTGAGCTTCCGGCTCGGAGTCCCGAGCCAATGGCAGTGAGGACCATGGCTCTGATATGATGTAGCCTTGGAACAGGCTCACATGGTGCCGACAGGGGTCCCATGTGCAAAGCTACAGGTATTCCTGGGCCCACACTGTGCGTTCCCCCACCACCACCACCACCCAAGACCACAGCCCTGAGGGCCCCGAGGGCCCTCCACCACCCAAATCAGAATGACCATTGTCACCATCAAATACAACAGTGCCCGTTTTCGAGATGTTCTTTATATATTCCTCGCGATTCAATCAGCACGTATACCCAAAACCCTTGCCTCCCGCCATATTCGTCTTCGCTCGTGCCCACGAGGGTGGGTGGGTCCTCTCCCCTGCGAGGGCGGGACCCAGCTACGCGCGATGCATTTGCAGGTTGGAGGTAAATCCTCTGGCGGCGGCCTCCTGCCAAGACTGAGGGCACTGCCCCTCCGCACTGCTGCCAGCGAACAGCGGCAGGGGGAAGATCCGGTCATGGCACTGTTTCCCCGAATGGGCGCTGAGAGAAGTCTGGCCACTCCGATTGCTAGTTCAAAACAAAAACAACAACAACTACCACTACGACCACCACTACTACTACGACTACGACTACGACTACTACTACTACAAGTACTACTACTACTACTACTACTACTACTACTACTACTACTACTACTACTGCTACTACTACTACTACTACTACTACTACTACTACTATAATACTATACTACTACTACTACTACTACTACTATACTACGACTATACTACTACTACTACTATTACTACTACTACTACTACTACTACTACTACTACTACTACTACTACTACTACTACTACTACTACTACTACTACTACTACGCCTACTACTACGACTACGACTACGACTACGATTACGACTACGACTACGACTACTACTACTACTACTACTACTACTACTACTACTACTACTACTACTACTACTACTACTACTACTACTACTCCTGCTACGACTACGCCTACTACTACTACCATTACTACGACTATCAGTACTACTACGACAAATACGAACACCAGTACTACTACACATACAACTACGATTGCGACGATTACTACGACTCCTACTGTTACTACGACGACTACTCCTACTACTACTACCCCCACTCTATCACTGCCACTACTACTGCTGCTACTACTACTACTACTCCCACGACTACTACTACTACTACTACTACTACTACGACGACGACGACGACGACTACTTCTACTACTACGACTACGGCTACGACTGCTAATGCTAGTACTACTACCACGACTACTTCTGCTACTAACTACTACTACCACTGACGTTTCGACTACTGCTACTACTACTACTACTACTACGACTACTACTACTACGACTACTACTACTACTACTACTACTACTACTACTACTACTACTACTACTACTACTACTACTACTACTACTACGACTACGAGTACAACTAAGACTACGACTGCTACGACTACTACTACTACTACTACTACTACTACTACTTCTACTACTACTACTACTACTACTACTACTACTACTACTACGACTACGACTACGAATACGAGTACAACTAAGACTACGACTGCTACGACTACTACTACTACGATCACGACGGATTTTGAAATCCTACTGCTAGAACTACTACTACTACTGCTACTACTACTACTACTGCTACTACTACGACTACTACTACGACTACTACTACAACTACGACTAACAGTTCCCATACGACTAAGGCGGCGACTAGTACTAATGCCACTACCTCTACCACTACAGTCACATCTACTACGACTACGACTACTACTACTACTACTACTACTACTACTACTTCTACTACTACTACTACTACTACTACTACTACTACTA